CTTCTTGGATCAGAATTTTATGGCTGTTGATGGCTGTAATGGTTTCTTGAAGGAATAAGAGAAAAAATAGGGAGAGAAGGAAGGGAGAAACTACCTGGAATCACTCACAGGATTCCTAGAATCACTCTAGGGATGGGAATCACTCACCGTAGCTAGCATAAGCTGAAGAAAACTCAATAAACTTCATTGCCTTTGTAAAACGTCCATACATATTTATAGACTCTAAACTCATAATAATCCTAGGAGTCAAACTTTTAGACTCTAATAGTCTTAGGAGTCAAACTATTAGACTCAACAATCCTAGTAGGACTCAAACCAAGTTGTCATATCCTATTTCAATTCGAAGAAGACTCAATAACTCTAATCCTACTTATGCAACGACTCTAAAAACACCCCTACTGTCCAAAAAATACAGAAATACATAAAATATCATAAAATTCCAATTTTGAATCTTCAGCTCCTGCATCAATGTGGCTCCATAATGAAAGTCTGAAATCTTGGCAAGATAATGGCTCTGTTTTCAGGTCTAGTAGGAGTTGGAGATTCCTTAAGAGCGGAAATCTTGGCACTACATCAAGGTGTAAAACTGGCTAAACAATTGGGGCTACAGCGGATTGAGATAGAGGGAGACTCCAAGTTGGTAATTGGGTGGATGCAATCAGGGCAGCTGGGAATTTGGCAATATAGACAGCTGATCCAATAAACATCAAACATTACAGCATAACAAGGGAGGGGTGGGTGTTTAGTTCAAGTGGGTAAGGAGATCAGCAAATAGTTTTGCTGACACCCTAGCAAAACAAGGGAGTGTTAAGTGTGAGACTTTATTGGGCAATGCTGTAATGTTTGATGTTTATTGGATCAACCTTATCTAATAAGGGTTGACTTCGGTATTTCAGTTTAATTTATCTCTAATGAAAGTCTGAAAGGGTAATGAAAAGGAAGATACTTTTGTCATCTGCTTTCCCCAATTGAAGAACATTCATTTTGAATGTTAACTTTGATTACTGGTGTGTGTTTTTTCTGAAAAAGCTGTCCATGTAAAGAAAGATACCTTTTCTAATATGTAGACTGTAGTGTCCAAATAAATCTATGTGTGACTGAGGGAAGATGGAAAAAAGTCTTTAACACTCTTCTGTCTCTCCCTCCTTTGTTACATTAGTGTCTGTGGTAATACCAAGGTTACAAAGAACCATGCCTCCTGAAAATATGTCCTCTTTGTCCTCAAGTCATAGGGGGAATGTGCCATCTGCGGAAGCCAACTATCTCATCTATCCTTTTCAAATATCAGTGGTAATACCAAGGTACAAAACATAAACAGCCCAACTATGGCATCCTGAAAAAGTGTTCTCTTTGATCTCAAGTCATAGGGGAAACATGCTATCTGCAGAAGCCAACTATCAGCCATCCTTTTAAAATCATTGCACATACCCAAAATTCCAATATTGCCCTCAGAAACTATGGCGGTGTTTGGAAACCCAAAATTTTATCAATTATTTCTGACATTAATCAGATAAGTGGTCATTCCCCTTTGTTATACCTCTGAAAGGCCCACTTGTATCTAAAATTTTTGCTCCGATTAATAAGTAATTGAAGATGGGAGAATTTGTGGAGGTAGGCCGTTGGAAAAAAGCTTTGAAGATTGATTCTAAGGAGCTCCTATTTGAGGAACTGAAATTAAATGGTCAGTTGAGCTTGAAAATCAGGGAAGCAAAGAGAGGGATGGTGCTGTTAGAAGGTTTGGGGGTAATTGAAGGCTTCAAGGAGTTTGTGGAAGGTGCAAGTAACAAAGGCAAACAAAATAGTTGGAAAGAGCTTCTCTCAGAAACTGGAAGAAGGTTTGTTGTAGAGTGTAAGAGAAACCTTAAAGGTTATTTTATCTCTTTGACAGAATTTTTTGGCAAGGGTAGAAAGCAGATGGTCTGCTTCCCAGAAGGAAGGAAGAGTCAGGGCTGGAAGGCAGTTCATGGCACCTTATGTGAACTGCTGCAACGCTTGGGTGCTAAAAGAGAAGTAACAGTAAAAAGGAGGATAAGCAGTTCTAATAGTTTGGTGAGCAATAATAAGCAAGAGACTCTTTTAGTGATAGCTGGGGCAGGTAAATACAGAATGAGAGTAAACATTACAGAGAGGTGATTGGGAAAGTAAACTGATAGTTAAAGCTTCAGCTCACATTCTAGATTGGAGGAAAGTTGCAGATCTGTTAACAGCAAGTTAAAGTTGAAGAGCACGTTTGTTTTAACACCTTTTGAGAAGGACGAGGCTTTGCTGGATCTGCTTGAGAATAGAGTAGAAGTTGAGCCATTAAATATCCAAGCTAAACTTGGAAATTTCACAGTATCAAGATGGTGTCCGGGATCAAACTCCAAAGATTTCTTTGTTGAAGATGGAGTGMTGGTACGTCTCTTAGGTCTTCCCTT